AAGTGAGTCCCGGAACGGCGCGAGGGGAAGTGAGTCCCGGAACGGCGGGGGGGGAAGTGAGTCCCGGAGCGGCGCGGGGGGGGAAGTGAGTCCCGGAGCAGCACGAGGGGAAGGGAGTCCCAGAGCTGCGCGATCCTTTAACTATGTTATAACTATCTTATTTCTAACCTTTGTTTTTATTCCTCTCTTGTATCCCACACTTGTACCTCGGTACTAGGCCCTAAGATGGCTCCATTAGAGACAGCCATTGTAAAAACTTTTCACTGTAGTCCTGGCCTTTTGAAATGGAGTGCATGTGACATTAAAGGATATTTTATTCTCTTTTGTGATGCTTGGGGTCCAGTTCCATCTCCTCCAGAGTTGTCTTATAACATCTCTGTTCAGGTTGATTAGAAAATATTAGAAAGATGGCAATACTTGTGGTAACATACACTTTCAGATGCTGTTGGCCATTCAGAGATGAAGTAGGTGTTTCAACAGACATCATTTTTAAAGTGAAACAAGGGTTTACACTTGAACGTCTTTACACAAAATCTCAACACACCTCTAAGACAAGAACACCCGAGTGAAAAGTGTAGCTCTCAGGAAGACTATACAATCTTGAGATCTGGGGGCTTATCAAACTACCTATGTATTTACAGACTCTTAAACTTGTAAATTCTTCAATTCTTATTCCTGTGTTCATAGTTTGGGCAGCTACTCGAATGAACATGTATTTTTATTCTTAATGCATGAGATTTTACCTTTGGAAGAAAGGGATTTTTAATATCATCTTAAAGAGTGAAAACATTACTAGGCCAGTAACCAGAATGTAGACCATGTGACTAAGTAGTCACAATCAGTTCAGGTTTCAGCAAGGGTGTGTAGCTATACTTCTTTGTGACTGTATATACTTCTGTATCAAATCTATTTGATGCATAAACATATCTATAATCTTTATGTAAATTGAACCTATGCCATTTACAAATCCTGTGAAAGATTGGTAACTTTGGGTTAGGAAAGTACATAAACAAAACACATCCCACCTTATCTCTCAGTTATTCTCCAACTTCATGGACGTAATTTCTTAGGACGCTTCATGACTCTCCCTGATCGTGTTCTTATTGAACTTGGAAGATCAGTCATCTTTTTTGTTACTCTTGATTCTTCAGTTGGATGTCCCAGATGACCAGGTGCATTTTTTACATTTCATGATATCTATGTGGTCCTCATGCGGTTTTTCAAAGATATTTTCTTAGAATGAAACTGGAACAACTAGCCTCTGTAAACACTATAAAGTCCCTGCTGTACTTATAAAAGACTATATCAGAAAGGCCATTTTGCTGAAAACAAGGAGCTGATTTCCATTTAGATGACTGAAGTTAATTACATCACCAGATACTTTGTCTGCATCACCCTTTATGGAGAAAGCTTCCCTGGAGATATGTGAATAGCTGTTATCCTATTTTTTCAAAACATACTCGTGATAGACAAACAGTTGGAAACTGAAAATTAAAATCAAATCACTTGGGTCCATAAAGCTATGGCTAAAGCAAGCTGTGCAGATGTGAGCTAACCAAATCTCCTACTCGGAATATACAACTGATTCTGAAGTTTCTGATCAGAATTAGATGGAAGACATGTGACCTGTCAAGAGATAGTAGGAACTGCAGATGCTGGAGAATCTGAGATAACAAGGTGTAAAGCTGGATGAACACAGCAGGCCAAGCAGCACCAGAGGAGCAGGAAGGCCGACGCTTCGGGCATTGACCCTTCTTCAGAAATTTCTGAAGAAGGGTCTAGGCCCGAAGCTTCAGCCTTCCTGCTCCTGTGATGCTTCTTGGCCTGCTGTGTTCGTCCAGCTCTACACCTTGTTATCTCTGTGACCTGTCAAGCTGGATTTGTGTTTACCAAGGGCAAGTTTTTGCTGGAGACCACCAGCAACAGAAAGAAGAAGTCATCGAGGATGGCATCCTGTCTGCTGAATTTGATTATTTCTACATCCTGAAAGCAGAGAGATAACTATTAAATGTGGATTTCAATTCCCACAACAATTTTTCCAGAAGAAATTATCGGTTGCGAACTTAATCTGCAGTTGAGGACCAAAGCCTTTGGATAGCTACAACCAGAGCAGACAGTCACTACAGCTGGGGGAACTTTCACTTCGTTATTTTTCTTACTGAACTTTAACTTTGTCTCTTGTGGTCTGTGATTTAGATTTTATTTTGTGTGTTTGGATTAAATATATATATGTTTGCTTCGCAGTTGTGGAAGTCAGAACATACTTCTATGTTTTTAATATTTTTACGTGGATGGAAACAAAATCTAACACCTTACTTGTTAAACCTCAACTTGTATGTCTAGTGCTATTTACACCACACATAAACAGATAGGTAAACAATGCACCAACAAATACATCTTTTTAAAGTTTATAGCGCTTTTGCAATCAAACAAGGAGTGGGAAAAGAGAGGAATTATTCGACCTGTCCTCAGCTGGTCAATACAAATGTGTAAGCAAGGTCAACGTAACAGCTCTCCTTTCAAATGTTACTTATCTAAATGAACTTCAAACTTTAAAAGCAACACTTTGATTGATTTTTGATTACTTTATTAAACCTGCATCGCTATTTTTATTGATGTGTATACATGTCCATTCAAATCCTTCTGTTTCTTTAGATATTCCATTTTCAAGAATAACTTGGACCCCTTTTCCTTTCAACCAAAATTTATTACCTCACATTGAAGTTCCTTTGCCAGTAACACAGCAACAATTGCTTGTATTTATGTAGCCTCTTTTACGTAGTAAAAGTTCACCAAATGCTTCAAAGGAGCATTATCAAACAAAATATGACTCTTGAGGCACATGAGTGAATATTACAGCAGATGACCAGAAATTCGGTTAAAAAGATAAGTTTTTAAAAGTGCCTTAAAGAGGGAAAACGTGGTTGAGAAGGAGAGAGGATTAGAGAGGGAGTTCCAAGATTGGTAGCTAACCACCATGGTCACCAATTGCAGAGTGATTAACATTTGATCTCTTCAAGAAGTCGGAATTGTAGCGCAGATCCTGCATTGTGTTAATGTTCTCTAACGTATTATCACAGACCTCCGCTGTATTAATTATATCACTCGATTTAGGGTCATTCACAAATTTTGTAATTTTACTTCCCAGATTAATTCTCAAAGATATGCTATGCTTTTCTGTGAAGCTTTGTCAATACCACCTCCCAACCCTGCCCCTGTGCACTTCTTATTTTATTATTATTAAAACACATACAAAATGCTTGGAAACAATGTATTTTCCATTTTTTCGATTTATGGAAAGCATGCAGTGCTTTCTACAGCGTGAAATTTATTGCACACTCTTTCCATTATTCTTCAGTACAACCTTGCAGTGAGCGTTCAGAGAATTAAAGGATTAATTTTAACATGGTCTTACCTGTAGTCCCCATTATCTTAATAACGTGAACTGAAACAATGAAAACACAGTGAAATTTAGACAAAGGAGCTTCAAATCTACAGAATGTGAAATCTAACTTTCATGATTATCTCAAAGATATATATTCTAATTTTTAAATTTCTTTGTGTTAAACTATCCATAATTGAACAAACGTCCCAAATCATTGTTAAACTCTCACATTTACTGTGCTTTTCTGTTTAGCCTTACCATGTTCCTCGTGGAATACTGATTGTATTGTCACAATTTAAAACATATGCAAGATATTTAGAAGCAATGTGTATCCTTTACTTTCACCTCGTGTTCTCCTCCCAATCACATACTATTTTCATCCTGAGGTTTGTGGCTCAAGCAAGATCCTGCCAGCATGTTAAAAGTCAGAACTTCCTTTTGAAAAATTACACTCCGAAATCCATAATCCTGCACACCAATCTAAGCGTACAGTATCACGTATTCCGTCCCTGATTCTAATGTAGACCACAAAGGTTGATGCTGATAAAAATTGATTAAAGATATATACTTACATAGTAGAACGATCCAAAGGAAAAAGTTTGCTTTCAACATATTTGCTTTGCTGAACAGGGCAGATCTGAAACAAAGTTGTTTTCTCAGTAATATTACTTTAGCTAGAGATAAGCCTATGTACATAAATTACTTGTTTAGATTAGGGTGTTCTTGCCATTACGTCAAAATTTCCTTCCTCATTGAAAGTGGAATTAACAACCTTAGTAAAACCAGCATGGAGTATTTCACAGTCATCTAACCAAATTGATACCCGACCGTGCATTAGATCAGGTGGCCAAATCTTTGATCAAAGAGGCAGATTTCAATGATTGTCTCCAAGTGAGGCTAAATTTTGTATTCCGCATTCGTTATAAAAGGAAGACAGGAGACATGAATAATAGGAATAGGCTGGTTGTGTTTTCAGGAATTTATGATGTATCAGTTCTTCTTCCCAAGCCTTTTCCCATTATGATCCCATTTGAGTGATTGAAACTTGTGATGGCCCCAAATCTCTGAGAGCAGAGCTAGGAGAGAGGGTATGCTCTGGGAGTATAGGGGAATGGGGTGTTGAGGGATCTCTGACAGGAGCAGAATATGTAGTGAAAGGGGGGGCAGTTCAGAGAACTCTGAGAGCTGGGCGGGGGAGGGGGATGTTTATTCCACAGAGTTCGAATGTAAAAGGCACATTCTGTTCTGCTGTTTTTCAGGATGGAAACCAGAGCCGGGAATCAGCCAATTAGGAAACTTCGACTATTCAAAAAAATACTCAAAGTAAATGGTCCACATGGCTCTCAGTCAGAAGTTCACAGCAACCTATACTTGCATTTGTAAAGTGGTTTGATATGGTTTCTAGATTTTTGTTTAAATCAACGTGTTACAGCACACGCGTGAAGCAGATAGGGACAATACTACTACAGCCATAACCCAGTTTGCAGGAGAGAAGCTGGACGCAGCTCTGCAATGAGCTGCCCAGCCTCAGATAAAGCAGCTGCAGTACTACAAACACACAGAGAGGGGAGGTTTTCAACTGCTGCCTACCCACAGAAGTGCACGACTGCTAACAAACTTTTAACAATATTTGAAATAGCTGTGGAGGGCAACATCAGACTGATTTACAGACCACAGCATCCTGGCTAGGCAAGAGTGACCTGGCTCTGCAACTTAACTCCATCAGATACAGAACCAGAAGTAAGCTGTTCAAACCACTGAGTTTGCTCTGCCATTCGATGATATTATGGTTGTTCTGATCATCATCAACTCCACTTTTCTGCCTTTTCCACATTGTTTCCCTTAATGTGCCTAGTTTTTACCCACTCACATAAAATCTCTCTATATCCCTCTGTGGACTGTTTGTGTTATCCTCATCAATTGCCTTCCCATATATCTTTGTGTCATTGGTATCTTCGCTACAGTACATTCACTTTCCTCAATCACTTTCCTCAATCAAGTCATGAATATATATTGTACATAATTGTAACCCGAGCTCTGATCCCAGTAGCACTCCAAGTTTCATGTTGTCACCCTGAAAATTCTCCCCTTACCCTGACTGTCTGTCATCTATTAGTTAACTGATCCTCTATCCATGCTGATATACGACCTCAAATATATATTACAGCTCCTGCTGCAGCAGCAACGCATCACCCATCCTGCCATCACTACCAGGTTTTATCATACCTTCTGCCATCAGCTTGGGCATTGGATGAGGAGTTGGTGGAGGAGCTGAACATATTGTGGTCCTGAAAGAAGGCAGCATGTCTCTTGCCCATTGCTGTATCTCAGTGTTCCTGGTGCTCTGAGCAACAGCCACAGAGTCATTAGCATATAATGAGGCCATTTGGCCCATCACATCCGTGCAGTTCTCTGTAGAACAATCAAGTCAGTTCCACTCTGCCATTTATTTCTCTGTTGTTCTGCACTTTATTACCCTCAAGTGCTTATCCAATTTTCTTTTGAAATCATTGTTTATTCTCCCATTCCACTAACCTCCTAGGCAGTCTTACTCACTATTGTTACTCACTACACATCAAACTGCTTCCTCACATCTTGCCTGTATCTCTTACCCTAGACCATGCATCTCCTAACCCTTGTATGATAAGCTTTTCTTTGGCTGCCTTATCTAAACTTGTCATCATCTTCTTTATCTTCGTGAATTCTCGCCTCAGCAGCAAACTGTAGCAAATACAAACTCTTCAAACCCAACCTTGTGGTTTAAGCGCTGTGCAGACGTGAGGTTACCATTTGGACCCAATTTGCAGCTTTTCTACAGACTGAATAAACTAGACTCTGCATGACTGTGAACTGAGCTTCCACTACAGGCTCAATTACCTAGAGCTCCGCTACTATAAGGCCATAAGATATTGGAGCAGAATTAGGCTATTTGGCCCTGTGAAGTCTGCTCCACCATTCGATTTTGGCTGATATGTTTCTCAATCCCATTCTCCTGCCTTCTCCTTATAACCCTTGATTCCTTTACTAATCAACAACCTATCTCTGTCTTAAATACACCCAATGATCTGGCCTCCACAGTTTTTCGCAGCAATGCGTGCCACAGATTCACCACCTTCTGGCTCAGTTCTAAAGGGTTGTCCCTTCACTTTGAGGCTATACCCTTGGGCCCTAGACTCTCCTACTAGTGGAAACATCTTCTCCACATCCACTCTCTCCAGGCCCCTCAGTGTTCCGTAAATTTTAATCAGATCCCATCCCCCCAACCATCCTTCTAAATTCCATCGAATTATAGACCCAGAGTCCTCATCTGGACCTCATACGACAAGCCCTTCATCCCAGGGATAATTCCTGTAAACCTCCTCTGGATCCCCTCCAATGCCAACACATCTTTCCTTAGATATGGGACCCAAAACTGTGCACAATATTCCAAATGCAGTCTGACCAGAACCTGATATAACCTCAGCAGTACATCTCTGGTCTTGTATTCTAGCCTTCTCAAATGAAAACTAAGATTGCATTTGCCTTTTTAACTGTCAACTGAACATGCAATATTAACTGTAAGAGAATTCTGAACTAGGACTCTCAAGTCCCTTTGTGCTTTTAATTTCTGAAGCCTTTCCCCATTTAGAAAATAGTTTACGCCTCCATTCTTCCTACCAAAGTGCAGACTTCACACATTCTCACATTGCATTCTATCTGTAACATTTTGCTGACTCTTCTAGCCTGTCCAAGTCTTCTGCAACCTCCTCATTTCCTCAACTCTACCTGTCCCTCCACCTATCTTTGTGTCATCTACAAACTTAGCAACTATGCCCTCAGTTCCATCATCCAGATTGGTAATATATAACGTGAATAGTTACAGTCTCAACACTGAACCCTGCAAAACTCTACTCGTCACCAGTGGCCATCCTGAAAAAGACCCCTTTATCTCCAATCTCTACCTTCTGCCAGTCAGCCAATCCTCTTTCCATGCCAGTACCTTGCCCCAACACCATGGGCTCTTCTCTAATTTAGCAGACTCCTGTGTAATTCCTTGCCAAAGGCCTTCTGGAAATCCAAATAGATCATATTCACTGGCTGTCCTTTGTCTAACTGGGTCATTACCACCTCAAAGAATTTGAACAGATTTATCAGGCATGACGTTCCTTTGATGAAGCCATGTTTTACCAAGCACTTCCAAGTACTCTGCAATCTCGTCCTTAATAATGGACTCTAAAATCTTACTAACCACTGAGATCAGGTTAACAAGCCTATAGTTTCCTGTCTTCTGCCTCCATTCCTTCTTAAACAGGGGTATCACATTAGCCATTTTTCAGTCCTATGGGACCCTCCCCGACTCCAGTGATCCCTGAAAGATCACCATCAATACCTCTACAATCTCCTCAGCCATCTCCTGGGGTGCAGTCCATCTGGTCCAGGTGATTTATCCACCTTCAGACCCTACAGCTTCCCCAGCACCTTTGCCATAGTGATGGCCACTACGCTCACCTCTGCCCCCTGACTGTCTTGAAATTCTAGTATGCTGCTGGTGTCTTCCACTGTGAAAACTGATGCACCTATTCTGTTCCTCCATCATTTCCTCGCTCCCCATTATTATTTCTCCAGCCTCATTTTCCAGTGGTCCAATGTCACATTTGCCTCTCTCTTACCTTTTATAAATTTAAAAGAACTCTTGCAATCTTTTAGGAGATAGCAAGGACTGCAGATGCTAGAAGTCAGAGTTGATGAAATGTGGAGCTGGAGGAGCATAGCAGGTTAGACAGTATCCGAGGAGCAGGAAAGTCGACATTCCGGGTCAGGACCTGATCTGAAACTTTGACTTTCCTGCTCCTTGGATACTGTCTGACCTGCTGTGCTCCTCCAGCTCCACATTTTATTGACTGTTGTAATCTTCTTTTGTATTCCTAAGTAGCTTACCCTCATATTTCATCTTTTCCCCCCTTACTGCTTTCTTACTTGTCCTCTGCTGGTTTTTAAAATCTTCCCAATCCTCTGGCTTTCTGCTAATCTTCACTACGCTGTTCCTTTTGGGATGGCACTGCTGCCTCACACCAGGGACACGGGTTCGATTCCACCCTCGGGTAAGTGTCTGTGTGGAGTTTGCACGTTCTCCCCGTGTCTGCGTGGGTTTCCTCCGGGTGCTCTGGTTTCCTTCCACAGTCCAAAGGTGTGCAGGTTAGGTGGACTGGCCATGCTAAATTGCCCATAGTGTCTAGGGTGGGGAAATGCAGGGATAGGGTAAGGGGTGGGTCTGGGTGGGATGCTCTTCAGAGAGTCAGTGTGGACTCAATGGCCTGCTCCCACACTGTAGGGATTCTATGATTTATGCTGTCCCTGACTTCCCTGGTCAGCCATGGCTACCTTGTCTCCACCTGAATATGTTCCTTCTTTCTTGGGGGTTATATATACTAGGGATATAGAGTTGACCACATCCTCCATGACTGATTAATTCAATACCATGTGAGTTGACCTCCACAAATAGAAGGTGGAATCCTCCAGCATTGTGCACAGACCTCCTGGCAGACATTCAACTTCATCCAGCAGTTGGAAGCCAGTCATCAGTCTTTTATGAACAGAATCCCACTATTAGATCCCACACGAATGCTCATACACTTCCACTACAATAACGGGTCCTGACCATGGGTTATGATGGTGGTTTTGGGGAGTTACTGTCATGTGTGTCT